CAGAATAAGCATTACCTAATACTACCGTTGAGTAACCGTTTTATAACTGAATCAAATGACTTTATAATTCACGGCTTTGTCCTGGGACATTAAAAGATTCATCTAGAATTATCTATAAGAAAAAAATGCGTTGAACTGTCAGATGGAAAACGAAAACAACTAGAATTTACTATCTAATTAGACAATAATGCGATTGTCTCATTTAATTTTTCAATCAGTGTATCTGACAAAAGACGACATATAATACTATGAAAGTATGAATGTTAAATAACATTAACTGATTTCAAACATATTCAGTGGTCATTTATATTAAAATGTAATTATTTTGAGTAGAACAATGATTAAACTTATTAAAATACATAATGAGATTTGTAAAATTGATGGTAAAAATAGGTACTTTCTAATTGGTGAGACTATAATTTATGGATGATCATTGAACGATGTTAAACATACCTTGAGAATGTCCATGTAATATCTAGGACTAAATGAGGGTTATAAATCTATGTGAGAAATTAGAATTATGATTTACAATTGATGTTTAAGGTTAGAAATTAGATTTAGGGTTTTCATCACGAACTTACATCAACTATAATGCCAAAACTCGATTTGTTCAAATTGATGAGCGCCAGAATCCGAGACCTGTTATCTTATACATGATTGGTTTGTCCATAAATTATAGTCTCGCCTTCTAATTTACTTTTACAGCTAACAAATTTTACAAGAAATAAAAAGTTTTAGCATGACACTAATTTATCGTTAATGACTACTAACTGACGTATGAAATATATAGCATTTTCTACAGATTATCTTTAATAATTCAACTATGAAAATATTACATTTTGCAAAGTTCGTCATTGCATACATTCTTACGCAAATACTATATAGAAATATTGAAATGCAATGTCTATGCATTATAACATTTATAAACACTTGTTGACAGCTGATTCAGTGTTAAGAAACATCTTTTTCTGATATGCTAAATGATATAGAGTTGTGCTTCTGAGATGAAATGCATCACTTTTAGGAGGCAAAAACAACAAGCCTAAAACCTATGTTCACAGATTGATTTTATTTGTCTTCCACCATACATATTTCATTGTTTTGATGTCTAATAATCAATGTTGGTTGGTAATTGAATAAGATCTTTGTAGTTATAATAAGTATTAAACTTGTAATTAGTCAATTTATTTCATGGATTTTACAACAAATAAATATAAAGTCAGTTTTCATTAAGGACTAAAATTACCTAGATAACCACTGGAAATCAAAGAGTACTTGACAGCATTTTTATTTTATCTTGAGATGCACAACCCTACTTTGGATCGAACTCAAAATTTTCGAACTCATACCGAAGCTATTACATTTAGACTACTTAGTTGGGATCAAATAGTCATCATTTTTAATTCAAATCGCTTTCTGAAATAATCCACCCACATAACATAGAAATAGTGATTAGAACTCATGGAATTAAAACACATTAGATGATTATGTAATGAAGTAACTGAAATAGATTAATGGTAATAAAGAGAGATATGAATTAAAATAAGTTATGAATGATGTAATTATAAAATTTTTTGGAAAGAGTTGGAATGACGTAATAAATAAAAGAGGGGTTAATGTTACCAGGGCAAAGAAAGATTTATTACTGTTTCTTTTTGTATACACAGATTTGGTTTTAAACGTTTGATTGCTATCGCTTCGGCGAATTTTAAAAGGTTGGAATTTGATTGTTTGTTGATCACCTTGAAGGACTTCAGTATATCGATTTCGTGTCCTGTGTCAAGGAGATGTCTTGCGATAGCACTGCTGAATGTTTTTGGTCCGTTTGATCTCAAACCCTTCGGAAGTTTGTTTTCATCATAGCTTTATAACAATCGGCGAACCATGCAAGATAAGAATAAACACACTTACTTTTACTGAAGTTTTAAACTATAATAAAACAGCTATCTAATCTTATACCCGCATTCCAGGGTTCTTCAAATGGTGTCATACAATCAATTCACGTCAATATTGACTTATCAATAATAGGATATATATTGTCAATAATAATAGACCAAATGTTGAGATTAATATAGAAGGCTTTGTGAAGATTGTAGAATTTTCATGATTTAAATCACGAATCGATCTTAGCTAGATCACCGTTGAAAACCTATGTGGACACTCGTAAGTATTCCTACACTAGGATGAAACGGCCATCTATTACTTCCATGTTTTTAACGTTAGTCTAACCGAAATCAATTCACGATTTAAAATATGAAAATATATTTAAGTGTTGTTCACACAGTGAAAAATTTAACCTTATCAAAGCTTCAATCTATTTATAATAATTAAAACAATTAGCCAAACTTTAATATATTGTTTTCAAACAAAATAAATCGGTAAAATTAAATCCGTCTCATTCTTCCTAATGAATAGAAGCGTATAAGATCAAACAAATTGTGGGTGAAAATCAATAATACATTTCTTGGTTTTTTCGATCGAAAAAAATGACTTTCAGGAAATGAATTTTAAGGATAGATGGAAATATACTTCGTTATTATACTTATTGACTTGTCAAGATTTTTTTAAAAAAGTGTTAAATAAACCAATTTTATAAATTTATGTAAGAATAACACAGTATGACACAATTCTCAACATTAACAATATAATAATGATTACTTGGAGAGATTTAGTTTGAAATATAGTCTGTCATGAACAGCTAGATAACTTTTGACTATCTAGAACTTTAACTAAACCATATCTATTTTCCCAGGAATTCTGTTTTTATTCTTTAATGAATGACATGAATCTGTATGAAGTTTTACATCTCTTATACCAACCCCCACTCCACCCCACCCCACCCCACCCCACCCCACCATAAATTTTGATTGAAACAAATTTTGGGAATGTAATAGTAAACAACGTCTATATACTGTGTGTATAATTAAACAATTACTATGACATAATGAAAAGTTATCAGAATTAATAAACGGATGCAAATGTCATATAAAGTTGAAGCTGATAAGATTACATTCCTTTAAAAAATATGGTTTTGAAACTATTTTTTCAATGAATTACCAGGAATAAACTGTAGTTATAGTTGAATCGATAGAAAGTCTAAATATTCAAATATTTATGACATAAACTTGCAGTTATGTTTGGAAGTAATATTTGCTTATTCTTAGTTGAAACTTTCATTGTAGATAAAACTTTGGATTGTTGTTTAATTTTTCAGTGATGCTGCTACATTCTTGTATTTTTAATTCTTTTAGCTGAATGGCTCAATTGCTGAGCATTCATTATCATTATAAACAATGATTTTTTCTAGAATGGCAATTAAATCTCTTTAATTAAATTATCTAGCTTAGAGAACTCAACAACTCCAAACTTATCTGAATAATCTATAAACCTTTGACATCACAAAATACTATTACTTACTTTTCATTATTTAAACATCAAGTAGAAATGACTCACGGAAGCTATAGAACTTAACTGATATCCATTTAAGTTTAATTCCGTTGTGCAGACAAAAACACGTTGTAGTACTGTTAATGTAAATACACTTAGAATAATTAAAATGTCAACCTTCAATTGTGGTAAATTATGCTAGGAGATTCAGTCAATACACAAAAAACTTACAATAATGTGGAAGAATTAATCAGGGCTGATCAATAGCAAAACTAAACAATCAATTACAGACACATAATTCAACAGTGCGATAACTTTTCATATTCTTCCCAAAAGATACACAAAAAATTGTATTACACTCTTCTTATTCATTTGTAGTAACTTGGACTAGTCATTTATTTGCCACGAATACAATTTGATTATTTATTCTCTGAAGAAGTGGCTTACACTGAGTCACAAAACTTTAGAATATTTAATTTTTTCTACTCATTGGGATATTACCAAAACTTTATTTTTATTTGTAATTCGTTCATAGCTTAAATGATAGTATCAGAGGTTCATGAACATAAACAAATGTAAACACAAATGCGAAAAATATGACATCGGGCTATTCAATGGTTTCATAACTAATAATGTGTACACATAACAAATGACCTTATACTGTTGTAAATTATCTCTTATGGATGTAGTATGAGATATCTTTAAGTATGGAACTGATAATCTTTTACAGTAATTATTATAAGTGCATGTTTATGCACTACTGCAGTTTTGGGTTTAAAATTAAGAAAAAAAACGTCGGATAACTATTGGAATGAGTGATTAGGTTATGTTGCTATATCCCTAGTGTAATTGTGGAAATAATATCATCTCGATATCTCGATATTAATCGACTTGTTCTGTTTAGTATACAGCCATAATTTTAGATCATCTATCGTAGTGAGTAGTATCTTTTACTAATGGTTATAACCACTACTATCGGAAGATTAGCTTAAGTTGAGCACATTAGATTTGAAAGTTCAGAAAAGATTATGAACTATTCGAAACACAATTTTAGTGTAAATCGCTTATGTTAATTAACATCCATAAATTTACATACCATAAATACATACAAAGATGTTATCTATGTAACCAGAACAAGTGATGACAAGTAAACGGATATAAATCTAATCAATGCAAAACAAAACAGCCTATGATCTTGCAAATTATCAACTGAGGGGTAGTGCATTTCAGGTTAGGCTGATATTCATATGTATCGAATATTAATGGTTAGTTATGCTTGCAGTTGCAGATGCTGTCCATGTTTCAATGACCTTGGAAAGTAGAATTCCATTGACTGTTTTCTCTTACATCTTAGATATCCACCAGCTAGATGTTTGTATGTATTGTTTGCGCTTGCAAATGAATCCTACCTTTCCACTAATGTCTCCGTCTTTCTATTGGTTAATACTATGTCAATACAGTAAGCCTTGTGCGCACATTGGACTTCACGTGTCAACCATGTAGAAACTAGTGTAGACATACAGACAGGCATTCAAACTGAGTTCTATGATAAGATTACCTGCTCCTGTCTGTCAATCTAATTTCATGATGTTGTTTTGCTTCAATTCCATCTGCAGCAACGACGTCTGCGCACATTGAACTTGGAGGAAGTTTTTTTCGGCAATTTCACGCGTAAATCAGTATACACAATAAGTGTGATACCCTATCTACATGCTACTAATACTGTTTGAAAGAAGAAATTGAGAAAATTAAGTGATAGTGACAGACACACCTAAAATTACTTGCAAATCTTATTTCTAACTTCTATATAAAATTCAATTCCGGTATCTGGTGTACTAAAGCAAACACATCAATTGTTTCTCTTATATAAATATATATTATCTATATACATTTAATAAAGCAGGTTTATTATTATCCATTAAATCAGGTGAGTGAAAAAATATACTTCCTGTATATGTTAATCACTATAATAATTATTTTCACGATTGTCATTTAAAATAAATATAAACTAACCGTTATATTCAGCGGTTTAATTATTTCTAAACAAATACATTGGTAATATTTGAGTAAACAGTCATACTAAATAATGTTAGGTTTATTGGTTTAAGTATTAATGATATAAGTAATAATAATAGACAAAGTGACCCAAAACTAAAATACCGTCTTGAAAATTAAAAGATACCAATGCAAACTTATATTCAATGTATGAGAAAGAACAATTGTTAATGTTAAAATAGGTGGTTTAGTGACAACATTATCATCTATTTAATCAAATCAGGATCTATTTATTTAATGTTCATAATTCCTCATTGATTGAACAATATCATATTATATAACACAGATTAGTATAAAACAATAAGAAGTACAATGATAGTTGTTGGGTGGGTGGGGTGTTGTCATATACTTTATAACTGTCTAATGTGTTGGTGACGATGTTGTATATTATCAAGCTGAATATTTATTGGTACTTGTATAATAAAGTTGTCACAATTACATTAGTTCTTTATTGTGTATCTTCAATCAAGGTTGTGTACTATTCAGTTTTCTGAACTTTTGTAAACTTTATGCCCTCACAACTAAAGTTGATCTAACTAGGCAAGTGATTTTACAAGTCATTAAGTAAATCAATAACGTTATTGTCATTTAAGGTTGTATTCAATATTTCATTAACTTAATGATCAAAAACAACCGATATACTTTAGAAGTCGTGAATACGAGCTACACGTAATATGTACATTATTTTCTAAATATTCTTTTGCTTTGTAGAAATAAATTATAGGACTGGTCATATGTAATGATCTACTTTGTCTACGATTGAATAATTATCTCATTTTTTAGAAATATTTTATCAAAGTATTAATAATATAATGGCCAAAATACTTGGCTTTGGACAAGGTATATCGATGGATCTAATGAAACATCTAATTAACTAAATATTTGAAAAAAAAAATCACTCATTGTAAGTAAGATTTGTATTAGAACTACAAAAGCATAACAGTGGCCACCACTCAATGATCAGTTGACGTAAATATCTCAATTCTACAGGAGCTCAACAGTAGCTCAGCGATAGCGTTTCAGAAGCTGGATGATGTGAGTTCGAATCCTATAGAAATTATCAGCTCCTTCAAGGTCACACGTATACCTTACTGATGAGTGACAAATATTACTAAGCGTGAATCTAGGATTAACTACCGATTACCGTCAACCACCTTGCACTTTTAGTTTAGTATATTACCATAGGTTTATGTTTACAATTTGCAAAATTGAGTATATAATTTGTTACTTTATAACTTTCAGAGTTAATTATGAAATGTGCTACTTTTCGTCATCCATTCCTGTTACTTTTGCTTGTATGATTAATTGTATTGATAATAATAATAATAATCCAAATCGAAACTAAGGTACGACCTCGTGTACGTACCTTAATTGACTTGGATTAGAACAAGATTCGAACCTGTAAAAATCAGAGATTAAATGAATTTTTTCGATAACAAAGTTTGAATTCACCTGAGATTATCATCAAGTTTTTTTCTGGGAAATTCGTCAAATACTTGACATGTTTTAAATTATGAATATGAGCCCGCTAAAATCAAAATTAGATGTTTACTTATCTAAAATTTTATTAATCTTATGAAAAGAAGGAATGAAGCAGTCCATATTAGAAATGTACTTCAAGTGAAAATTTAATGCTTATTTCGAATGACGTTATTTTCAAGTTGTATAAATTCACGATTGTATTGTTATACCTCAAATAATGCTGTGAAGACTCTGTGAATTGTCTACATATAATTTTATTCTGCAATGATCTAACGATTAATGATATAGAATAGATGGAATGTGGTTAGCAGTGTAATCTAGGGCTCGTGTTACGTCCTATTTGAGACTCGTCAGATCAGTGTACACGTATCATAGGGTTCGTGTTCAACTCAGAACTCGAACCTAGTACCGTTTACTTCAAACATCATCGCTTTATCCATTTATCTACTAAGTTCAAGTAGCAACTCACTTTTGTAACGAGTATGTGATTTAATTAAATTTAAAATGGTTTAGATTATCCCGTTGTTGATATTTTTGACTGAAATTTAGTCAGTCTTGAGTGGGATATGTCTATCTTGTGCGGATTGACTCGATATAACCGTGATGACACAAACTAATATCGCATAGACGATTTCAAACCATACATCTTATATTTGAACCCATGTTTGCTTAGGTTTGACAAACAGATAGTGAAACTAATCTTGACTAACTAAAAGTAAGGCTTATAGACGACTAATCAACCTTCTTTGCATCATAGTGTATACTTATAGTATTCGAGAATTAATTTAAGCACAATTATCGAAATTAAAAATTGTCCCTGTCACATACTGCATCTTTTTTTTAGTAAAAAGACTGATTATTAATTTTGTGGTCTTAATATGTTTTTAGAACATAGTCATTATCAAAGTTTGTTAATCCTCACTTGTGATCACTTAAGTTTTAGGGAATTGCACATTTTTTTACCACCGCTAATCACCAAGCTATTTAATTTAACATATAAATGAACATGATTCGACAATAAATCATTTGAGAGCCTCAAAAATGTTATAATTTGATCATAATAAATAAATAAAAGTAATATCTCACTTCATAAACATTCTTTATCAAATCTATATTATCAGTTTGGGGGGAATCGGGGGGATTGTTATATTTTCAGAGTTGAATTCACGAGACAGTCTAAGCTAGACCATCATTGAAAACCTGGAAGCTCTGGGTGGCCGTTTCGTCCCAGTATGAAACTCCTCAGCAGTAAGCATCCACGAACTCGCATACCAAACTCAAACCTATGACCATATGTTCTCACTGCTTGGGAGTTCCATACTAGGACGAAACGGCCGCCCAGATCTTCCAGGTTTTCAATGGTGGTTTGGCTTAGACTAACTCGTGAATTCAACTCTGAAAATCTATATTACATTTCAGTAAGTGCAAATTTAACTGTATTCTAGATTATTTTTCTTACATGAAATTGCTTGTAAATTCATTGGTGTATTAAAACTGATTATTTGTTTTTATTTACATTAATAATTAGATGGAAATTGGTCCGAATTTATGTGTATGGCCAATTCAATCAGGTATAAATCACGAATTGAATTCTATGCAAACTTTATCACCTATTGTACAACAGAATAATTCCTTTGTATACAGTCGATCAAATGGTGTTGTATTAGAATTGGAAAGTGACAGTGAAACTGAATTAGAATCTACACCACATCTTGATCATCATGACCCAATAGAAAGTAAACATCAAGAAAATCCTTGTCAATCACAATGGAATACTAGATTAATTAATTTATCTACAGATGAAGATGAAAAAGATTACTATCAGTGTATCGACAACATTGATGTTGATGAATGCAATGTTCACAATAATTTAAATGTTAATATAATAAATAATCATGATAATACTGTTGACCGACAAGTTGAACTTGGAAAACAGTTATTAATAGATCATGAAAATCACCAAAACTTACAGAATTTTCATGATAAAACTGATGATATTGATGATAATAATAATAACAATAAGGATTATACATGTGGATTTTGTGGCTTCGATTTTGGTACTGCTGAACAAGTGGAAGAACATGTCCTGTTGAAACATTCAGATAATTTAACTACTTCGAATTATAGTAGAACTGCATCTACAAATACTTCTGATTCTTCTTCTCCAACGGTTCTTACCAACACCATTATTACTACTAGTAATAGTAGTAGTAGTAGTAGTACAGTTACCATCACCAAAAATTCCAAATATTCAGTAGATCCTGCTTCGAAGTTCAGTAACCTCAGATCAATAGCGAAAGAGAGTAGGAAATTACTAAAAAATGACTATGAAATGTCAAAAGAATTTGTTAAAGAATCTTCTTCAACCGCTGAAATGGACGATCAACAATTGATAAGAAGTGATAATGATTTTCCAGCACTTGTTACAAATAACCCAATGATAACTGACTGCCCTTTATGTGATCGAACATTTGTTGGACGTCGATCATTAAATATACATTTGAATAAAACACATTCTATTAAAGAAAATGGCAGTAACATTAATAATAATACTAATAGTAATAGTATTGATAATCCTGGCAGTGTAGCAAATAATGCAGGTAGGTCACAAATACGAGCATTCTAATACTATATTGATTTATTGTGTTTTCCTTTGACCGAAATTAAATTTCATGTCGACATTTTTAAAATTAATAATTTGCTATTTTGAAAATGTGATTCCATATAGACGATAAGTATTGCAAAACTACTTGTCCTAACTTATGAGGGCCGCAACAGTGTGTCAGGAATAGTTTTCAAAGGTTAGTTGGTTGGGTATTTTTATTTTGTGTTACATAGACCAAACATGTCAAATTACATCGTGCTATTAAGGCCAGCAAGTATTTCATGATTCTGATCACACAATCCAGTATTTCGACCTAAAGAGCTTTGACTACTGAAACAAATTTCAATAGTTTGAATTTGGCTGATTAATTCATTTGTTTCGGTAATTTCATGCTTTGCATTGGTGTTTGGGACTGTCACTGATCAGTCCCTTTTGGCATATGTACACTCTATGTGGATTGCCTCTATATCTCCTTAAGTCATAAGCATTATAAGCAGAGATGGATGATATCTAGCGATGGAATCTAGGACGCGCATTTTTCCCCATTTGAAACTGATCATCTGCATGTACATGAATCCATGAGTTGATGTTCACTCGGGAACTCGAGCCCGGTACCCTTTGCTTCAAACACAATCACTTTATCAACTTAGCTACTGAGTTCAAATAACTACTGCATTGTGCAGTCGGGTGTAGTTCAGTTCATCCGCATTGGTCGTTTGTATCTTCCCAATTGCTGTTAAGGACAGCAATTGGTTGGTCTTACACAATTTAATAGATATCTGGACCCAGTAGCAGATGGGATAAAGCGATGGAATTTTAAGAGAATGAATACAACTACGGCTTTAAATCTTGGTTTTTACTAATCTTTTAATTATTACTAAGTTGACCAATTTATAGTATCTAAGTGACAGAGCGTTTTTTTTTAGCAAGTTAGTTTTCTACGGGATGGGGTCGCTAACCCTATGCCCAACCCTCCTCCTTTATCCGGGCTTGGGACCGGCAGTAGCCCCCGGAAATGGACTCCAGGCGGAGCAGCATATTTACAACGGAAGAATATCTGGAACTCAAAACAATTAGCAACCAACACCAAAGTCAGAATTTTCAATACAAATGTGAAGACAGTTCTACTGTATGGGGCGGAAACCTGGAAAACTACGAAATCCATCGTCCAAAAGATACAGGTGTTTATTAACAGTTGTCTACGCAAAATACTTCAGATCCACTGGCCGGACACTATAAGCAACAACCTACTGTGGGAGAGAACAAATCAGATCCCAGTGGAGGAAGAAATCAGGAAGAAGCGCTGGAAGTGGATAGGACACACATTGAGGAAAGCACCGAACTGCGTCACAAGACAAGCCCTCACATGGAATCCCCAAGGTCGAAGGAGGAGAGGAAGACCAAAGAATACATTACGCCGGGAAATGGAGATAGATATGAGAAAAATGAACAAGAATTGGATGGAACTAGAAAAGAAGGCTCAGGACAGAGTGGGTTGGAGAATGCTGGTCGGCGGCCTATGCTCCATTGGGAGTAACAGGCGTAAGTAAGTAAGTAAGTACGTAAGTGACAGAGCATTTATTGAACTTCTTAATTCCTTCAATGGAAAGTTTGTGGTTTGCATTTGTATCAGACATTGACCTCGAAAATTAAACTCTTTGATGATATTAGTTATGAGTTTATTGATCTTAATTGAATATGTTTTCGGTCAAATGCTCCAGAAGTGTTATTCATGAATATATGGTATTTACAAATAAAATACAATTATCAGTATATACTTAGACAATAATGTAGAATAAGTTGAAGAACAGAAATCTGAAAATGTTTATGAGATTTTTAGGGCACGCTTAATGATTGATTCCATCGCAAATGTATACAAACTTAAGTGGTGAAAGTTGAACTCATACAACTTTGTCAGGAAATTTAGTATTCGTATATTTTATTTCTTTGGAATAATTGCCGGTTTATCCACTCACTTATGAATGATGAATATTTTGTTCAAGTTCAATTTACGCTTTGAGCTTCTAGTTAAGGAATGATTGTCTAGGCTATTTAGCCATATCTTCAAGGAAATGAAACCCACCGATTTACCTTTTTTCTATTTCCAAATAGTAATGAGTAGAATTAATTAATCCGAATAATTTGCTACATTTGAGCAACAAATTTCTCGCTCTCTGATTATGCTTGTACTTTGTAAAGCATCAATAAAGATCAATTACACAAAAAAATAATGATTGAGAGCATAAAACAGAGATGGTGTGGTATAGCAATAATAGATAGCTGTCTAATGATATGCAAAAGTACGAATAAACAAGAAACATGTTCCCAATTAGGATACATACGGGAAGTTTACGCAAACCTAAGAGTGTGCTCCTTACAATTTCCACTTGGGTGCTTGAAAGTTATTTTTGAGGTCAATCTTAGAACCTATTTCAATTAAACTCTTTGGTGCGGAGAGGCATGATATGATGTAATCATTTGTGTGATGCTAAATTCTGCATTAGACAAATACACTACACTTTTTAGATCATCTCTTTAATTACACAATTGAAATATCTTTATTATTGCAAGTTCAAGTTTATTATTATATTGTGGCTATCTGAATGGATATTTTTCAGAAATCAGAATTCATCATAATGCTCAATAAGGAGGTTTTAGTTATAATACACTTAAATAATTACATTTATCTCCCTAATAAATGAGCAATATCATATTCCCATGATGTTTTCTTTTTCTAATACATTCTGTTCTAAAATAATCTGTATTTGTTATTTTAATATTTTGTTATAATTTAGATACTCAACAACTGAAGACCAATTCTGTGTCAAAATCAACACGCCTCGCATGTTCTCGTTCTTTAAGAGGACTTGATGGGAGTAAAAATAGTGATGTTAATAATAATAATAATAATAATAATAATAATAATAATAATAATAATAATAATAATAATAAAACCACAAATGAAACAACAAAATCTACAAGTGAAAAGTCTTTATGCAAAATTGTAGTTCGACCACCGATTCTTCCAAGACCATCTCGTATGACTAATTCCATGACTGGTTCGTCGACATCTCCATCTAAAATAAATGTGGACAAGAAAAACTTACAAAGTGAATCATCATCGTCATCATCAACTTCACAAGATATTTCTGTATCTAGAAATAATGAATTTGAAGAGTTAAATCCTCAAAAATCTCGGCCAACTGTTTATGCAGTCTCACCTCCATTAGCAACAGAGCAAAGTAAGTGGTATATTTTATTTGTTTTTTCAAAGTTTCCAAAGCATTAATAAAAACTCCTGTGGTCAATCAATGTTAGTCATGTTTATCATGTTGGTTTGAATACATCAGTGGTAAATCTTTTTGACGGTACACTATGTAGTGATTACTGAATTTTCTGTAGAGGCATGAGGTAATGTCCAATTATAAAGAATTTCAAGAGATTGCTTCAAAATATAGTTCGATAATCGATTTCTTTTAATTAGTAATTATTATTACACCTTTTAAATGCACTTCATTTATACTAACAGAATTGATAAGATTTAGAAAAGAAACACACCTCAATTTTCATTGAATTTAATTTTTTTTACTTTTGTCTCGCATTCAAATCAGTTGAGCCATTTTTGAAGGTTAAATATCAGTTAACAGTTATTTCAGTCTATTCGATCAATTCAACATAATTATCTTTATCAATATGGGGTTGTGGAGATCGAGATCATGAATCGATCAATCTTAGACCACTGTTGAGAACCTTAATGCACTGGACGGCTGTTTCGTCCTAGTATGGAACTCCTCAGCAGTGCGCATTCACGATCCGGCATGCAGCAACCGAACCCAACACCTTCGGTCTTCCGCGATTGCTTAACACCTAAACCACTAAGTCGGTACACAACGGTGTTAATGGCTAGCTATAACCAATCTACTATATTGCTGAGGAGTTCCATACTTATTATTTATTTATTTGAACACAAATATTGGTACAAGGCGGCACCGAATACATATACGCTACACAAGTCACTTGATTTGTGTGTGGGCTGTGATACTGCCCGGATGCCCAGACCAAAACAGGTAGTTCCATACTAGGACGAAACAGCCGTTTATTGCATTCAGTAGAACTGTAGAACCGTAGAACTGTTGTTATTGCTTGAAGGGACTAATAAGATATCTGAACTATAGTTATCGTATCCCTTTTATAATCAAATATTTTATAGCTTGAATAATTTCATTTATCTTTTCCAGTTTATAACGATATAACTTGTATGTTGTGCTCAGTTTTAGGTTAAGATATCGCGTTAATTATGGTGAGACTGCTTTACAGCTGTGTGGTTCAAATTCAACTATCATGTGGTAAATCTATACCACATTCTACCTACTTCATTTTGGGATGCTGGATAGTATTAAAATCTCATACCCACCTACGTACATAGATACACAAAACGTGTGATTCAGAGCTACATGCTCGAGCCTGTACTTGATTACTGGGTTACATTAAATTGTTGAATCAAAATTAATTCACTGTCAGATAACATGGTGATTTTTGATAAGTCGTGATTTTAAATCTGAAAATATCGTGTTTTATAGAAAAAGTTGCATTTAATACGAAATATTTCGGCTACTATTTACGATGACATATTTGGGGGAAAAGAGTTAGGCGCTCGCGTGCGAGAACTGATAGATCCTGAGTTCAAATCTCGCGGGGTAGGATCGTGGATGCGCACTGCTGAGGAGTTCCGTACTAGGACGAGACGGCCGTCTAGTGCTTGCAGGTTTTCCATGGTAGTCTAGCTTCAACTGACTCATGATTTCAATTGTCGAAATCGCTAAAATCTCCACAAAACCCCTTCTGAATATAACAGTAATAGTCAACCAATAAAAAATTAAACGTTCAAAAGATCTCTTAGGTAAGAAAAGAAGCACTCCACCAGCCCTTATCATGTTTTATCATCTCGCAAATATGTTTTATACATTAAAGAAGTGTATTAGACCAGTTTATTATTTCTCAATATGTGTTTCTCAGATATCCATACTTCAACTACTTGAGGCAATAAAAATGTTAGGTAATTAACATGACATAATGATAGTTTGTAACCAGACGATAGATATACGTATACAAATCCTTGAGACAGTGATCAAATCCATGTTAAGTCTGCCACTTTAGATCACGTCTCAGCTGGTATTTAAATGAGAAAAAATATACCTCTTGATCTATCTGATGGTGTACAGTTAACCTCTTTTTTTTCAATACTCCCTGACAGTTTATTGAATGCACAATCTTATGAGTAGTCTAAGTACATAATACTTATTACCATTAGTATCACTACTTTTATTCTCGACTTCCTGACTGTCATTTCAACGAAGTTTCTAAATGATGATTGTATTGTAGTAATCCTAAAGCATTCACTAACTGACCCGAATCCATACAGATCTCCTGATACTGAATGTAACGGGTATCATTTATTTAGATTTTTGACCCAAACTTGTGAATAATACAGGTAATATCTAAATACTTATATTGTTTAGGAGCGTAACCACTTTTTTAACTACATTATTAGTTCAACATTTCAAAGTTTTTTTTTTTAAAGAATAGCTAATTTTCTATGTTTTTGTATTTCCCAATCTTAATTTCTTTATTTTTAAGAAATTACCGATCATGTGAATAAATGCTTTGAAAAGTACCTGCGTTTATTCACTACCTTTCAATACTTGGTTTAAAGATCTGTTGTAATAACATTTTATTGTACGCTTCTTAGTACAAACTGTATTATGTATAAAACTGTCAATGCTTCCTTCTTCTTATTTAGCTTCATGATGATAACTCTGCTACCACAGACAGAATACAAACCGAATTCAAATATCATTACTAAAGATGAATTGAAATATATTGATAAAAATATGTATATTATTTAGTTGACTAGATGATACACTATACTAGGTGGTTTAGATGTACATGATCTTACTATGTTTGGTATACAACTCAAACATTAATCTAGAGCTAGACAACAATTATTCGAAATAATTTAGAATTCTGAATTTTCGGACAGTTCATTATATATACACTTTCAGCTGTACAACTAATCGGTAATTAATTTAGTTAACCATAAAATGTGAAACAGACCTGAAATTTCCCTGTCACTATATTCTGTAAAACGTCTATTCACAAATTCATAAACATTTGCAGACAATACATATTTCTTAAATGTTCATTTCTAGGTTTGCATCTTTCGAAAGTATTTCTTATATGATAGATTTTTTATTGTATTTTCACTATGTCGCATCATTTCCAATCACTATTATTTATGTTAAGTATTAGTTTTACACTGGAATATCCACAAATCCAACTTTTATTGTTAATTTTTTAAGACTGGTTCTGATGTTGATGATGATGATGATTAGGATGTCATCGCGAAACTAATGTTATTCAATGCAAGGTGAGAGAAAGGAGACACTGATAAACATATGAAGATCTATAATACACTAAAATAAAATACAAAACTTATATCATAATACAATGATTTTTATTAGTTTTATTTATATGATGAGATCGGAATACTACTGTAACCGACTAACTGAATTATATCCATGATACTACTACTATCAAGTGCATACTAATAGGAATTTTCTGGTAGAAGTTTAGTTTACTTACTTCCGTCAATCAATGAATAATGAACACTCACAGTGACAATAAAATATACACTATGAGTTATCTTCCATGTTTATAAAGAATGATTTATTAATTACTGTTATGGCCGAAAAACTCAGATGGAGAAGATCAACTTATTGTTTAGTACAAAATTACAGAGTTATTTGATAAAATGTGAAAATCATACACTAAATGAATCGTTTGAGCATCTTTCATCACTTGTCCTATACGTGCTTTATGATGCTTTCTATTCTGCTGTTATTACAATTACTTTCTGTTTTTTTTTCTATTCTCTTCAACTGAGTCTTCTCAATCTTCTGCTGGCATGAATTCCATTTCCGATAGGTACTACGTACTACTGTCAACACAAGTAGCATCCATCACAGTATATCTAAATATGTACTTTCGAATTGCTAACTTGTTTTTATTTGTTTCATGGGTAATAGAATTAAATTTTATTTCTGATGCAATCTTGGTAGGTGTTTTGAGAATTTCAAACTTATTGAGAGTAGATGTAAGTGTATGTAAATTGAATTTCAGTTAGAACTTTAAACTATTTGGTCATCATCAAAATTCTCCTTTCAGATTTCATATAAATATTCTTTTAACTTATTATAATTATATAGCATATTACTATAATTTAAGTTTCTTTACCTCATTGATTGAGGAAGGATCGTCTGTAATTCGAAAGTGCTAAATTAAAATGTTTTGACAAACGGTGGACTAGCATGTAATAACTAACTGCACAATGTTTTGTAGACTTGTTTGGGACTCATCGGCTGTATGTGCCTGCATCCCAGAATTGATGCATTTTGAGATAATCCCCACAAGATGCACATATGTCTACCAAGACTGACCAAAATTTAGTGAAGAATATCATCAACGGAAGAACTCAAAAACCCTTTGAGTCCCGTGTGCGGAATCGTGGATGCGCACCGCTGGGAGGTTCCATACTGCAACGAGACGGCCGTCCAGTGCTTCCAGGTCCTCAATGTTGATCTAGCATTGATCCATTCATGATATCGATTTAAACTCAATAATCTCCACAACCCTATGCTGATAAATATATAACTGTTATCTACTGATAAGCGTTACACGACTATGCATTCTAAGCAGTTGTCCTTAAAGACGAGACTATTGGGTCGTAATACTCAGTGAACCAACTTGAAATTCGTCTTACTATTGCTATCTAATTACTTACCTATTTACTTAAAATTAACTTTGTTTTTTTTCACCTTGTTAAATTTCACTAATATTCACTTAATTATCAGACTATTAACTTTAATAAGAAAATGTTATTTTAAAACAAATTCAAGACAGAAGTTGAAACTAATCGGCTAAAGTACAAATTGTTAGTAACATTTTCATCTTTTTCCAATTGTAGCGTGTCTGATTTCCAGTTTATTTGTAATTGACGGTTGACTGACCTTCAAAAGGTCACCCAAACAAAAAGACTCAGAAGTGTAGATACAATAAATAGCATATTGTTGCAGTAATACTGTGATATATGCTACTTATATCGACAGACATATATAGCATGTCACACCAATCGGAAGTGGAAAACCTGGAAGCAGAAGGCTAAGAAGATCGAGTTGAAAAAAAATAAACAGAAAAGACAGTGGAAATGAATTATGAACTGGAGGAATCATGCAAAATGTGAAGAACAACTGATAGAAGATTTGAAAATGAAGTAGTTGATGTATGGTTCTCATATTTTACGAAGACATCCTGCAATTTCGTGCTAAGCAATAAAATGATTTTCCCCACCTGAGTGTTTGTTCATTACAGTACGACTTAACTGCACATTCGTATCTGATTGTTAAATGACTAAGCAACTGTTACTCTGCATACCTTGATTAAATGGAGTTGGCTCACGCGCCTTCTTCACTGCGCGCCATTTCGCTTCGTCCCTCTGAGTATCTGTCCAGATCAATGAGTGTAAAAAGTATACGTATTCGAAAATCCATTCTCGTATTTGACTTATTTAATTCCGTTACCCACTAGCGCGATTTGAGTCGATAATTATGTACGAGAATAGTCAGGATGTATATTTCAATAGCAATCAATCATACGATCTAATTGGTCAGATATAGGGCCACACTGAAGTGGTGAATTTGTCGGCAAAATCATCCAATCGACTTGACGTCAAAATGAAGAGCCCCACTAAAATCTTGCATCTTTATTCAACCAATGTCATTATTATTACTGTCGTCAAACCATCACATAATAAAAGGTTTTTGTTTAACTATTGTTAACAAGAAGTATTTACATATCGGCCAGTCAATAGGAAATGATTACATTTTACCATGTTATTAGTTGTAACAAAACAAACTGGACATTGAAGGGAATACAATACTGACAGTGCGACATTATATCAACGATTTATAAATGTAAATGTATTTTTACTGCCCTGAACAAAATATGTTCGACAGCAAACTGGTTTTAGAGGTAACCAGTTTCTTGGTGCTTATCAAGATGCAGAAACTCACCTTAATCGTAAATTTGCATCATGGATCAACCTAAGACAGACGATCATTGAAAACCAGGAGGCACTAGATATCTATTTCGTATTAGTAAGGGACTCAACAGTTGCGCTCACCATGGATCGGATCTAGAGCACTCATATCTTCGCAGTGGTCTTGTAACTTCAGATGGATAAATTTTGATATGATACCCTTACACAAGTTTCTTAACATGTGATATATCAATTCATGTAATGGGAAATAATTATATAATCTTTTTTGTTTTTCTAGGAAGCAAACATACATTTTCTGACTATTAGTAGTGTGAACCTGTTAAATTTAATAAAGCTGTTAAGTTTGAACAGAGGTTTTCATCAATCTTGATTGGTTGGAAATAACAGTCAAGTAACATGTAACGAGCAATATGAAGGCCTATTTAAGGATACTCAAGCGTTTTTCGAAAATTATTTGTTTATGTATGAGAAGTGAAATTTTATAGATTATCAGTTTTCATAAACATTCAAGTAATAATCATCAGTAGATTTTATATCGTATGTTCTAGAGGCGACATATAGAAGGTTTCGAACTTAACTCTTATGCTGATTTGTTATCAAAGCGTATTTTCTATCCTAAAAGAACTGATTCTTTTCTGTAGGATTCCATTCTATGCTAAAAGTCTGTGTTTAGTGAAATATTCCCTTTAGTGTCATATTGAAGGCATGTGTGTTTTTTTCTACAAGTTTTGTTATAAGTCCTTATGTACTTTATTTAGTTGAAAAAGCCGAGCATTTATTAATCAAGTTAAACACGAACCATATTCGTGGTTAAATTCAAAGTAGAAACATGCACTAAAATGCTTTCTACTTCAAATTAAGGTAGATTATATAAGCATTAGAATTACCTTGATATTTGCGTTATCTTTTTTTAGAGAAAAATCATAACTGTGATTTATATCAAACTGTATACAGCTTATTTATATTGAAGAGGTCATATTTACTTTAAATTCTCTATTTCATTTAACTAATACTACGAACTGTATGAAATTTACTCATACTTGATTAAGTGAATCTTTCTACTTATGAATCAATTTCTTTTTTATATATTCGAGAATGAACGTGTATTTTTGTTATTACAGTAGTACGGAATTCACTTTCTGTTTACTTCCACATGGTTAATCGTAAATGCATATACATACACACACAAGTGCGTATAACACACATTACTGAATGCATAAAAGTTTCTATTTGATGAGTTTCCATTGTTTTATTTAGATTCACAACTGTGTCAATAATCAAATCTTGTATGAGTAAATACATTATCTTTTTTTAAAAAAGAAAAACAACAGAAAATTTACTGACAATACCGTTTTACTTGTCCATTAAATCATAATTGTTCTAACACTAATTATGTAGATGAAGCTGATGATGATGGTGATAATGGTCATGTGTTTGGTGATGATATTGATAATGATAAACTGATTATTACAGCAGAGAAATAGTTTACAAAAATGAACAGTATAAAAGAAAAGAAAAAGTAGTTTTAAAGAACACATACACACACACCCACTCACACATTAAACAATATTCTGAATAGAAGAATTCTTAAAATTAATTCTCATTAATGTGAAATAAACAAAGTCGAATGATGTATTTATCTATCATATTCAATGTTTAGTAATTTATGTAATTGTTTACAGAGAAATCAAAAATCAATATATTTTTTTTCTGTATATATATTTATTTGTCATTTTATATATACCATATGCATAAATTAGACTATGTTATTACTTATAGTCTATCAGTAATAAGATGTTTATTGTATTGCTATCTTTTTGAATGTATTTTCTATTTGTTACCATATTTAATATTGTACATATTATACTGGTTGAAGTTCTATCCTTCTAGTGTTTTTCTTGTTTGTTTGTTTGAAATGAAACAAAATACAGAAGAATAAACTGGAGCATGAATTCGACATAACAACATTATAATACGGAATTATTATTATTAAGTTTTATTAACGATAAAATTCATCACAAATTGATAGTAATTGAAAAGAGTCATGAGTTGATACAGAAGCTACAATGATATAGTTGTGTTTATTTTATCTTGATACATCTTAGCATCACTTACACAGGATCAAAAATAATGACTTACACAGATTGGAACAAAAATGATAATTTTAAATTATTTCTATGAAATCTAATACAATTCAATGTGTCCCTCAACTTCAATAGATCTATGTTAAATCATTATAAGTTGACTCAACAAGTTATGATATTGGAACTTCAACTTCATTTCTATTGAATAAATAACCTGATTAACATCAATTGTTTTCAATAGTTGAGATGGTCGTTTCGTTATATTGTGGGATTCTTCAGTAGTACTCGTCCACGAACCCGCCTCGTGGGATTCAAACGCAAGTCGAGATTGATAGGTCCTGGATCCCTGGTGTCCCACAGTAGGACAAAACGGCCATCCAGTGCTTCCAAGTTTTCCATGATGGTCTAGCTTCAAGTGACTCATGATCTCAACTATTGAAATTACTATAATATCCACAAAAAACCCCTTCTGATATGAATCAATTTTTTTAAAGAAAATTATTAATAAATCTTATGTAGCTTAGTAAACCAAATTATTGTTAATGAATTATAATTATCAGTCATATAATAAGATCATTTTCTAGAAAAAATAATACAATGTAATAAATTATTCATAATCTGTTCCTTTTATTTTTTTGATGTAGTTATGACTACCTGACAGAAATGATCATTTTATGTTTTAGTTAAATATTTTCCACTTGTTTATCAATGATTTCTTGTTTATAATTCTGTTATGAGTTAACTGTATTCCATACCAATGCTAACCCTTTTGTTAATATTCTTATACTGTTACAAAATTTATCACATTGTTGTATAGTATATATCATATGAAAAAGTATGAAATTTGCATGTCTTGTATTTCAACCATCATTTGAACTGTACTAACTTCATGAAATCGTGGATGCGCATTGTTGAGGAGTCCCGTACTAAGATGAAACGGCCGTCTAGTGCTTCCAGGTTTTCCATAGTAGTTTAGCTTCACTTGACTCATGATTTCAATTATTGAAATTACTGAAATCTCCATAAAACCTCTTCTATATAACTTTTCTTGAAATTATGAATAACATACACATTGAATTAAATTTACTAGATATTGTTAGTCTTATAAATGTTCTAGAATGATCAAAGTTATTACAATCCAGCAAAACATCATTTTCAGCGACGTTTCATTTTTATAATTTAAGATCTATCGATCAAACATAGTGTGGAAAAGAGACAATTTTCAACTTTTTCTCATGTTACGTCATGATTCAAGTAATTAGGTTTCTAGTGTCTCATAATACTTCATGAATAAGACCGTTATAACCACAAGCCTTAGTTTGATGACCAATACTATTCTATGGCTAGTAATAATAATAATAATAATAATAATAATAATAATAATACGAAAATTGTTTGTTCCAAACTGTTTTAAGCCAATTCACTTAATATTAAATGGTTAATTAAAGGCTTAAAGTGTAGTTTTATATCGATTCATGGATTCTTACTGATGATGATCAAACTATAATTTGACGTCTATCATCAAATAGATAAATCTTACTTCACAATAGTTATACTTTTAGGTTGAGACCATGAACCGACTGATGTTAGACCACCGAACGCTTGACTTACTGAACCACTGAGCCGGCATCCAATGGTGTTAGTGTCTAACATCAACCAATCCACGAAATTGCGCGACCATCTTCCATTGTACTGAGGTAGATACCTGTCTCTAACCGACACGGATTAGCTCCACTTTTATATTACGAAATCCTCTGTTTAAATCTCTAGTATAGATGTACCTTAGTAGTGATAATAAACGTCTTTTTATTCATTAAAAGTCAAATTCCAATTCTGTCTTACTAAACTATGTATAAACAACTAATTAGAACTATTGAACTATTTCACAGCTGTAATGTTTGAATATGTACTTAGTTATTAAGTACATTGCAATAAAAAAATTCCTATAAATTTATTCATCTTAGTCTAGTTGTGTAAGTAAATTATTTTTTGCCTCGCATGCTTTTTTCTTTTTATAAATTTTTCTCCTTCATCTAATCAAGGTGGTCTCAAACTTCGTATTATCTCATTAGATGCAGTAAAGAAATCAACAAATATATATTCAACATCACACAATGTTAAGGTGAGTTAATTTTTTTTTTTTTCATTTTTTTTTTACCTCTTTTATTATTTTTAACATGTACGTTTAAACTAATAATTATTTAATTGTAACAATGGTTCAATGTTGTTTTCGTTTAGTTATAGTATATATATATGGGGGATAACATTTGTCGTCTTAACAAATTTCTACTAATTTCTAACCATTTATATTAAATGGTTGTAACAATAGTATCAACAATAGTATATCGAAATTTCTTAGCTTCTTCAATATTTATATTTATCATTATGTATTGATGATAACCTTGAAATATATATATATATATATATAACTGTATTTTCTTTAGTTAATATACCATTCTTTGTTATCGTTTATTATATGTCTATGGTATTCACTATTGTAAACTTAAATAACTGGATAACTGATAAATAAGTGATAGACTTTATCACTGGAATTAAAAAAACTAGGAGTATAAATTGTAATGATTATGAACTTGTATTGGAGAATTCCTATAGTGTATTAGTATCATTTATGTTCACATGGTTTGACAGTATTATTAGTTTTAAATGAAAAGATAAACTGAACATATTGTACTCGAATAAGATAGAATTGAATAAGTAAAACTGAGTGCTTTTTTGTTGTTTCTATTCGAGAAAGCAGCTAATTTTGATTATAATTTAATTAAAGTAAATAAAAATTGTCAACATTGATTGAAAGTTGAACAATTGGCGTAGGAATGTAAACAACATCCAAAATGCTGCTATAAACTTTTATATATAATGAAATTGATTCTCCTCATCACATTTTACCTCCTGTGAATACAGAGGTATTTTTAATTGTTTAGTAGTCATCACCGTTTTTTTGAGTTATTTTTTCTGGTTAGCGTTTTTTTCTTTAGCGAGTTAGTTTTCTACGGGATAGGGTCACTAACCCTATGCCCAACTCTTCTCCTTTATCCGGTCTTGGGACCGGCAGTAGCTCCAGAGGGAATTCAGGAGGAGTAATCGTGACCACTATAAAATTATGTACATATTATTGAATTGAATTAAAACGGATAATTCAATTGAAATCTATGTATTCAATAAGACTCGTTCATTAACTACTTATTTTGTACAAAGTTTAATCATCATTAAATACCATTTAAAACTTACTTTTTAATTAACTCTTCAACCAAAATACTGTATATCATTATATTATCTAGTATTCAATGTTTCATGTCTTTTTATTTATTTAATTTATAACATGAATGTCGGTCGCTATTTTCCAATGTTACACATTTATTTGTTATCCTTTCACTACAATATTCTAGGTAAACATGTATCTATTTGAATGAATTAATAAATAGATCATTTGAATAATGGAAGCTGTTATCATTGACTAAGATACCTGAATAATAGTGAATTTATTAAATGGTATTGTTTTTTTTTACCTAATTATACATAAAATAACTATTTAAAGGTCATTTTCATCATGGATCAATGCATATCAACTACGAAAGAAAAAAAACCGCCGTAACCCAAGAGTTATTGAATAGTTATTTTTTTCTAGTTTGAAACTGATTACGTGTCAAGACTATTCAACTAAGTATTACGTAATCATTCGAGTGTAAATGGATATAAGTATTGGTTAAAATAATGTTTATTTTCTCATTTATGATATCACAGTAAACGAAGATTATAATATAAATAGCGTCTTCGTAATGCTGTTTTTTCGTTAACGTTAACATTACATCCTAAAAAAATTACAAACACATATTTCTTTCAATTTACTATGATTTTTCTTTAATCTTTAAAACTAAATTTCAATTATTTTATTGGTACTAATATTCATAAGCTGCATTAGATGTTGTCATTCTGTAATGTGTGCTACTGATGTCGACGGATATAAGTAGTATGTATCGCCAATCGAAAGTGAAATGCCTGAAGGTAGAAGGTTAAGAAGATCACAGAAAAAGAACAATAACAAAAAATGATTGGTGTGAAAATGAAAGAACAATGAAGTCTGAAACAATTGAATAACCTTTTTTGCAAAATGAAATACGTACTGTATAGTTTCCAGATTTTACTAAAATATACTGTAATTTTGTGTTCAAATACATTCGATTGTGTTCTAATTCACTATAACTCCTTTAAATGTATGTTACGTTTATTAAAATGAATCTTTTTTTAACTTGGCTGTAAAATATACACAGTCATAATGTTCTTATTATTGATTAACTCAACATATATACAAAAACATCGAAGAATCCTTTAAACAGTTGAGAATAACAATTTTAATATACAGATTAATGTAATTTTTGTTCATTTCTTATCTAATCGATAGATTAGTGATAAAATAAGCTAAAATATTGTAACCGAATTGAGGACAAAATAAGTAGCCAAGGGAATATATATATATATATATATATATATATATATATATATATATATATATATTCAACTTGTACAACTTTTGGATTATTACGCTAAAATGAAGGATCATTTTTTTAGTTATTATTATAACTACTAGCTCTCTGTAAGTGAACTGTAAACTTTCTGATGAAAATCTGGAGTCACATTACACACACGCTCTTATCATCTTAGTTAAAAATAGATCTTTTCAAAGAATATAGACAATGATATTTTGAAGGATCATTGTATAGTACGATTATTTCAATAAATAAAGTATATTAAATCTTTATTTTTACTTACGTTACTTCTTTTAAATTCAAGTTCTTTTTTACAAGTGTTGACCTTTCTTGAAATATGATTAATTCATTGTATTCTCTAAATTCTATTACTTTTAATTTATTGACACCAATGAGAGTATTACAGTTCTATTTCTATTCAGTTGTGTTGTACTTTTGAAATTTGCATATTATTCATTATATATTAACTTTCATTGGATTGATTCTCTAATTAAATCTTTTAGTGTTCTACCCATCTAGATATGTAAAAAGTTGAAACTAATATTGTTTGACTTTAACATTAACCTAATTAACCAATGAAAACTACAAAAACTTCTCCTATAGCCTTAGTCGTCTTTCTTACTTTATATAATAAACATATCATTCATATATGTCCTAAACATTTGAACAGTTCAGATGTATAGAGTTATCTAAATTTGTTATAAAAGAAAGTCTGCCAGATGTTCACCAAATAATGAATCTAATGATACTACATTCTTTGATTCAATCAATGGATTACTGAATCCAAACTCAATATTAAGAGTATGTTATCTAAGTATCTAAGTATTGTTCATAAATAAACATGAAAACTATTGTTTAAAATCACCTAATAACTAAATATTTTATTTGAGAAAGATGGTTGTAAATAGTAATTTACTCCAATAAAGATAAACTATTGTCTTCCATTAAATGAATGAAATTAAACGGATCCGATTCATTGTATTAATTCATATGGTTTCTTACTAATTAATGAAATCCTGGAAGATAATAAGTGATATCTGTTAGATCCTAGTGAAGATTAAATTACAAGTAACTTCTGAGACCTATTAATGGACTAATATTATCTGTATATTCTTATGGTATAACTATTCAGTAATTAGATTATGTGTATTTATAAATCTCTTATTATAAGCTTTATTTTGACGTAGAATTTATTATTATACGATTTACTGTTCTTAAATTATACTCAGTTTATTGATTACTTTCTCCCACGTTCACATCCGCTTTTATGCCAGATCTTGTATAAATGTTATTTCCTATTTTATGGTATGATGCTGTCTGTTTGGTTGGTATAGAAACCAAGTATGTTTGAAATAAATGATTAGCATAGTGGAAGCTGGTATTGGTGTTCTGGACTCAAGTTGACGGGCTAGGCGAAAATAGGACTAATAAGGACGTCATTGGTTTAGCACAATACAAAGATTGTATAAGTCATATTTCGATTGGCGGATAAATCACGTGATAAAAATCCGGACCATAAAATCACAAAAGTATCAAAAAGAATAGTTCTTTTACTCAGTATCTAATATTGAATTTCGTAAAATATTTTTTAACATCTCTTCTAAAAGATGATATACATTCAATTTTCAACATAACTTTAATCCTTCTAAAGTTTGATAATATTTTAAATCCCTTAAACTTATTTAACCTACAACAATATTTGTGGGATCGTGGATGCGCATTGCTAAGGAGTCTCATCAGTAGGACGAAACAGCCGTCCAATGCTTCCAGGTTTTCCATGGTGGTCTAGCTTCAATTGAATTATGATCTCAACTATTAAAAACATTGTATAATCAAATTATTTTGTTCAAAAGTATTCTTATTCAGTTGTAAATTTCATATTTCTGTCTTTATTGTCTAGTCATAATATATCTGTAATATGATAATCATTGAAAACTTTCTTTTATCAGTTCATAGGTTTACTCATCAATTGTTCTACGTTTTAATGTACTTTTCTTTAATACAAAATATTATCAAATATTCTTTTGTACCAATTATACATGACATAACAATGAAATCAACCTTCATTGTATATTTATATGAAATTTCTTTCTTTTCTTTTGTTTTTCTAATTATATCAAAATATATTTATCAAACACTATGCGAAAGATTTGCGTACTTTTAATCGATTTCTATGGTGGTGTAAAAAAAATACTTTTTTCCCCAAAATCTACATCTACAGCCGAAAATAAATCGGAGAATTAGATAGATCATCTTATCCACAGAGTATGGTTGATTTAATCAGATCATGAGCTAAAGGAGTAAAGTTTTTAAAAGAATTAAAAATTATCACTATTATCTAAACTTCTTACTGAATAATATGTTAATCAATAGTAATAATAATAATGATAGTAAGTAATAGGTTACATGTACATGAAAATAATGATGACATTATGATCACCTTATATTAATATAAGCAACTCAAAGTTAATTTAGTAATTGAATTCATGAGTCAATTGAAGCTAGACTAACATGGAAGACCTGGAAGCACTAAAAGGCTATTTCATCCTAGTATGGGACTCCTCAGTAGTGCGCATCCACGATCCTACCCCACGAGATTCGAACCCAAGATCTATCAGTCTAGCGAGCGAACGCTTAACCTTTAGACCACTGAGCTGGCGGGATCGTGGATATGCACTACTGACGAGTCCTATACTAGGATAAAACGGCCGTCCATTGCTTACAGGTTTTCTATGATTTTCTTGGTTCAATTGACTCATGAATTCAATTATTAGATTACTACAATCTCCACAAAACCTTTCTCTGATTATAATAAAAGTTAAATCTTTTTTAACAAAAGCTCTATTCTGTTTCTTTAAATTACAGAAAAAACTTATTATAAAGTGAATATATTGAAAAAAGGAAAGAAGTTTGTTAATAACTAACAAGCTTATATTAGCAGACCTATATGATACAACTCGTGAAATAGTTGAATCATTCAAAAAAATTCTAGTATTAAGCTAACAAAATGCTTGAGATAAATAAACCAACATTTTATATTGACTACGATAGATGAAAACATCAATACCTTAATAAAATGTCAAAGTCCTTAATTATAGATTACCGGACTAATGTTTATGAAATAAATTCAATTTAAAAGGAAAGATACTGTAGTGAATGAGAACACAAGTGGAGATAACAATCAAATTACAGAATTTCTTGGTAAAATCTTAGAACTACACAGTACATACTTCATTTACAAAATGTCAATCAATATTCTGAGACTTGACTGATTCTTCTTTTCCATATCTATCACTATCTGTTCTCATTCTCTTCTCTTCGATCTTCTTAACCTTCTGCCTCCAGGTATCTCACTTTCAATTGATGATATATACTACTTATATCTGTCGACATCAGTAGCACACATCGCAATACTAGTTGGAATTATTATCACTGATTCAATCGTATTCAGTGTTTATAGTATTTTCTGAAAATGAATATTTAAATTTGATTAATATCAAAATTATCATTTGTAAGAGTTACACAGAATAATTCACATAACTGGTTTGAAACCTAGTTGTGAAATTTTACCACTTTAAAAAACTTTCTGACAATTTAATTCAATTTTTATTGATCATGAATCTGATCAACAAAGTGATCAGAATTTAGGCTTTTACCATTGAATTAGAAAATCATTGGTAATCAACCATAGTTTGACTAATATTTATTATACAATTGTTTATAAGGTTCATAATAATGTTAACTGGAAATAAATATGAAAATGTAGATTTGAAAACGATTCTCTTCATAAATTGATAAATGTTGAAGCATTATTGAAAATGAAATGTTTCTTTAGAGTTATGAACTTGTCAGTAATGTGCTAACTTACCATCTCCATGGATTCAACATAACCCATTTAGAGTTTATAATGAACACGATGTTTTTAAACCATCAAGTCAAGATCCAGAAGTTCATAATTTTGATTACAGTCAATTTGTAATCTTTTACTATCATTATCAGATGCAGACGATTATATTTATCTTACTATTGACATCAATGAATTCCATCGTTCATAGAATCTCATTAACACCTTGAGAATACTGTTCAAAAGTCAATAACGAGTCCATAAATAATAACGTTTTTTTTACTTCTAACTGAGTCAAATGATTGATGGCTTTCTTTTATCCGAATAATAAAGTTTACAACTACACGTGTGAGTAGTAGTTCATATTGTAAAAAATTTACTATTTTGTTCATTTTGTGTCGTTTTTTTTTGTTGTTGAATATATAAAAAACCGACTTGATGCACTGTTAGACAGTTTTATATTATACTAAGTAGTTGCTTAGCTAGTTAGTCGATATATTAATATTAGGTTTTAATTACAATTTTCCCCTATAAAGGTTAACAATGATTTTTTTGTTATTTGGAGAATATTGAAAATCAATAAAGCATTGGGCAACTATTGCATTCTAGTTTAGACATCTTCAGTGTTATGCAAATCTTGTAGTGAACGAAAACTTGGAAAAGGGATGAACAACTTATCGTTTAGAGCAAAATTACTGAGTGCTTTCCTATATTATAACAACTATACATTAAATACTTCATTTGCACATCCTATATTAGTTGTCCTTTACATCTTATATGATTCTTTTAATTTCTAATTCTTTTATGTTTCTCTTTCGGTTTTATTCAGTTCAATCTTCTCAACCTTCTTTTGATAGGCATTCCACTTCTGATCGGTGCTACATACTACTTATTTCTGTTGACATAAGTAGCATACACCACAACACTACTTCAAACTGCTTTGAACCTGGGATTCGCTAATTATGTAGCATACACAATCCCACCGATCAATCCATTCAAAAACTTGTGATTCACTAACTTAATTTTAGTTAATTTACAATGTACACAGATTTCCATTTTATTGTCATTTGTTTATTTGTTTTGCCCAGATATATCTACCCACATAAAGCCATACACATATTATTGGGTCATTTTAATGTTGTGTTTATTAGCATGTCTATTTGTATTAGTTATACCATAATTCGTGTTAATTTTATTTCACTTTCTATTTATAGAATGATCATTTAGATAAATCACATTTGACCAATGATATAAAGTTAGCATCTGCTACTTGCCCCTCACCCTCTTCATCCCCCTCTCCCTCCTCGTCATCATCATCTTCCGCAGCAAAATCATCTTTAACAACTCGAATAACGTTGAAGAAACATAATACAGACGAAAAATATGAATCAGGTAAATGTACTGGAGAAAATTAACTAGTTCTTGTATAATTTACTTGATATACTATACGTGGTTTTTTAATTCGGTGTTCTCTTGTCGCTTCTCATGAAGATATTATTTTGTTGTTGGCCCACTAAACTATCTGAATGCTACAAACACATATGTCAATTGCCTAGTCCTAACAGCCACACAAAAATCTTAGTATTTATTCATAGAACGTGGCCGGTAGTAGAAAACAGGACGCGCGTTTCATCCTAATTAAGATGGATGTGCCTGCATCCCAGAGTTTATGTTCATTCAAGAACTGGAGTCCGCTACCGTTTGCTCCAAACACCATCATGTTAACCGCCTAGCTATTGAATCCAAGAAGCCACTGATTTCTGCAACGGGTATGAATTTTAATTCAGTTTGAAATGGATTGAATTATCCCATTGTGGATATCTTGAATGATCAGTTTTGATCAATCTTGGTTGTCATATATCCATCCTTTGCGGATCACCTAGGGAGTGACTACCTGAACTCAGTAATCAAGTAAACAACGCCTTACCTCTTGAAGAGAACGGTACCGGGTTCGAGTCTCTAAGTGGCCATCAACTATGGGATGCATGTACATCTGGCTGATGAGTCACAAATGGGACAAATACGCATCTTGGATTCCACTGTTAGCCACATTCCATAAATTTGTGTCATAATGACAACATCGAGGTAATCCGCACAAGATGTACATATGCCAACCAAGACGGATAAAAATTCAATCAAGACATCAAAAGTGAGATAATCCAAACCATTTCAAATTGAACGCATAAAATACTGTTGCATTCGTCTAAAGACTAGAAGGCTCAGTTTTACGTTCAAGCAAAAAATAGATGTGAACTATTAAAATTATCTAAAAAGATGTTTGTTCATTCATTTCGATAATGATAAATAAACTGTTATTCAGTTAAAAAGTCTGAAAGGAGCTAACTTTATTGGAATAAATTTCGTTAACTAATGACAGTTTATCAATTAGTTCATTCCAAATTCCATCGTTTCTTAACATTATAACACATAAATTGTTATGTGTAATAGATTTTTGGCTACCAACTTAAATATTATTGTTAGTGAACATACCTTTAAACTAACTTGATTTGAATTCAGCAAAATTGTACTTTGAAAAACAATATAGCCCAAATATTTACGTTCTGAAGTAGAAACAAGAATACAAGCTCCTTAATATGACCACTCATGCAGTCTATGAGGAAATTTCATCCAATCTTGATATATGAATAGTGTAACACATCTTCGCTTATTAGCTCAGATATTCGTTTTTACTTTGGCTATTAACTAATACGTGAGTTATGAATACTAAGGAGATTTAGTTTTTTTCTGACACCATACTGATTTAATAGAATACAAAATGCTTAAATAAACATTGCATTCAAACTGAGGTCATTCCCTTGACTGATAGCATCTAAATATTAAATTAGGTTGCAACTATAGTTTTGTGCTTATTGTTGACTTTGAGATTTCCTATTCTTGTGGGAAGTTATGACCCGTGGAATTTAGGTGATCAGCTGTAAAACCGGATGAAGGACACTCTACATAGCCAATCGGTTGGAGTTGGAGATGTGTACCTTTGGATTCCAACCGGATGGTTTATTAGTTAAGAATAAGCCGCGGGACTTAAAGGTCCTGGATTCAATCCATGGGGTAGTCGCGGGTGTGTAGTGTGAGTAATTGCATTCTAGGATGATTTATTTTATTTATTTATTTATTTGAACACATAAATATTGGCACAAGGGGCACCAAATATATATGCGCCACACAAAAAAAATGAGGAATTTAAAGAGAAGGAAAAAAAAAATAACGACCAGATTAGTGTAAGGTAGTGTAATGGTAGTAATAATGGGGGAAACGAAAAGATACAATCAGGAGAAATCTTTCAGTTAAGGAAGAAGCAACCACTCTTTACGAAGAAAGTAAAAGAAGGTTACAGCAGGATCGCCACTGGCTTCTATCGTGAGCCATGTCTGATAACGTCTCTAGCCCCTGTGTTGCACCATCTCTCGGACCCCACCCAGGGAGTCGAGAAGCACCAACAGAAGCCAGCCCTTTGCAGCTTTCTTTCATACCCCGACACCATGTCATATACTGACCACCTCTCCGCTTTTTCCAACCTGTCCCAGAGTCGGCAAATAATGCACGACGTGGAATTCTCTGGGATGACATTCGTAGAACATGTTCAAGCCACCGAAGTCGGTGTTTCAAGATGGTGACACCAATCGCATTATCGTCTCTGTTTCCGAACACTCGATGCCGAACCTCTGCATTACTGACATGGTGTTGCCACTGGATGCCAGCAATCCTTCGAAGACAACGATGATCGAACACAGAGAGTCGTCTAACATCCTCAACTCGGAGAGGCCAGGTTTCACATGCATAGAGCAAAACTGCTCTCACCGTCGCGTTGTAGATCCGACCTTTTACAGCCAGACTAACATCACGAAGGCGCCAAAGATGGCCCAGATTGGCATAAGCCGCTCTGGCTTTCACTATACGTGCATTGATCTCATCACTCACGCCACCACCAGCACTTATGCAGCTACCTAGATACACGAACTTCTCGACTACTACTATCTGCTCACCATCCAGAGTGAGTACAGGATTAGAATCCTGCCAGTCTTGTAGAAGTACTTTGCACTTCGAAGGTGCAAAGCACATACCATGCCTACGGACACTGATTGCCAACTGATTAAGTGCTGGTTGCATGGCTTGGGCATTCTCGCACAGTAAGACAATATCATCCGCATATTCAAGGTCGAGAAGTCTTTCTCCAGGCAACAGATCCACACCACCATTACTTACATCCATCAGAGCTGTTTCCAGAATGTCATCGATGGCAAAGTTGAAGAGGAATGGTGAGATTGGGCAACCCTGCCTAACCCCACTGCTCGAATGGAATAATGGAGAAAGGTGGTTGTATGCGCTCACTCTGCCTGAGGTGTTTGTGTATAGGGCTTTTAGTATGTTAATAAATTCTAGGATGAAACAGATATCGAGCGGTCTCTGATTTCCAATGATGTTTCAACTCAAGTCAGTCCACAATGAATACTACCAACAAATATATTGTCGAAGCTAATGAAACCAATTAAGAGATACACAATTCATACAAAATGATATTAGAAGAACAATGTTCAGTGGTCTAGAGATTAATTGTCCGCACATGAGACCGAAGGTTTTGGGTTCAAGCCCAACGCTGGGGATCATGGATGCTCATTGCTAACGAGTCCCTTACTAGGATGAAGCGGCCGTTCAATGCTTCCAAGTTTCCAATGGCGGTTAAACATTGATCGGTTCGTGATTTCAGTGAAATTCAACAGTCTTCACTACCCTGAAAATTTTCAGTACAGTTTGATTCCTCAAAACATAGCTCGATAAATTATTCAAATTCCTATAGGGAATGCTGCAATTTACGCTATCTTCTAAAGGTACACTTTATTAATACTGCGTACCAGTGAAATGGTTTATTATAAATTACCCTAACTAGTAGGTCAATCTATCTTAACTCTTGTGTTGTATTGGTCTTTTCTCCTTCAAGTTATCTGATTTCATTGTGTCTTTAATACTTTTGCTAAATGGTCTATTTTTTTACAGCGTGAACTAGCTAAACTGATTAAGCTTAATGTTTATTTTTAAACTGTATGGTTATACAGTGTACTGTTTTTATTGTCTACATCTGATAGAATCGTCGTTAAGTTAACTGTTTACTAAAGTTACATTTACAACCATCATCAGCTTATTGATTATAGAAAAATGAGATGTTATATGATAGACTACTGAAAGGTATACAAAGAACACTTGTATAAACATAAACATATATATGGTTTAAGACAGAATTTGAGCAGTATTTGACCTCACCATGTTAATATGTTTACTAACCAATTTATGTCTTATGACTGAGACATTCATGATTGTTTGTTTTTTACTACACACAATATTCGTGCATATATTCTTTAGTTAGAGAAATAGCCTGCCAAAAAGACTGATAAATAGTGGTCGTATAGACACCGCTTACAATAATCATACTTCCTTATTTCTAATTAGCTTAAAGCGAAATTTTAATGTTTGTTTTGTGAAGATGGTAATATTTTAAGCAATCGATTAGTTGAAAACTGCTCTGTGTGAATAAAGTTTTCATTATCAAGTAACATCAACTATATAAATATATTAATTCAAAAGCACTATACACATGTATCATAGACATTTAGGACTAATCAGCAGAGTGTATTCATGACCCCATATGGATTCGTGCTAAGGACATTTAAATATCATGCTGAACACCTTACTATACAATCACTGAATGATATGCATATTTAAATTATAATCAATTTATATATGCTTCAACATTAACTGATGTTGTTGGTTGGGCACTGCTAACACCACAAGTCCTGAGACTCGAGTTTATAAGTTCCAGTCGCCTGTGGAGTCATATATGTTCACTATGAAGGAGATTTAAGTTTTAACAAAACAGAAGTTCAGTACTCTTTGATTTTCCCTAATTCTCTAGATGATGTTAGTATGTTATTAGAAGTAACATCATTACGATGTTTGTTAGAACCTGTTTGAGATATCATTACCTAATAATCTAGTTAATAGAGTTCTAATGTTTTAATCTTTGAGAGAATTCACGCACCTAATTAACCAGTTTGGATTAAAAAAATAAAATACACCAGTTCTAAATTTCATTGTTATTCAATACCAGGAAAACCTCAAAAAGTAATCCATCTAATGCGATTTACTCCAATTTATGCGTAAATGGCAAAAATAAATATGTTTCACCATACTACTTAACTATGAGTTGTATGGTGATTTATTTACACAGAGTATATAAAACATTGAAAAAACCTAAATCTCATCGGAATCTAACCAAATTAATTTGATTATTTATTCTATGGACAAGTGACTCACACTAAGTCAAGAAACGTCAGAAAATCTAGTGTTTCTACTCTTTGGGATATTACTTACTTACGTAC